ATGAGTACAATAATAATGAGTACATCTTAGGTCCCCAGCACTACATGAGGTCTACTAATAGAGGGAAAAAAAGGCCGTCATCCTGAGTCCCTCTCCTCCTGCTTGTTTCTGCCCCAGGCCTCCTATCTGGGTGAGTAGTCCTCAAATTCCCCTCCTGAGCCATATATCCCAATCTCTGTTTTCTTGAACTCATAGACCACTTTGGAAACGGTCACAAAGCTGGGATGATTCATCACAGATCCTGAATTGTAGGACACATACAGAACACTTCATCTCTGCCAATGGGAAATAGTAAAAAGTAGAATACAAAAGAGGGAAGTCGTTTTGGGCTTAAAGGGTATCAAATTGCCCAAAGGGGATCCTCTATGTGTTGGCATTACCTACAAATGAATTAAACACATAGGAGGAGGATTCCCATTATACTGACTATTCTCTGTCTATTGCAAGCAGGTTAACAACCTAAGTATTTGGTCAGCTTTCATTTAACTACCTAATTTCAATTGATTAATTAATTTATGTAAGTAAATATCAGTTGCCTGCTATATACAAGAGACTGTGCATGAGAGGGTAAGGAAGATGAAAGGTTCTGGTTTGCCACATCTGCTCTAGGCAGTTCACTGCTGGCTTAGATGTTTGCACTTTATTAAATCGACATTTGAAACCTACCGTGTATTTTCACTGAGACCAGAGCTGTACTTTAGAGAAAGACAAACTCCTATCTCTGTGTAATGGATTAGCTGAAGAGAGCCTAGGGGAGGAGGATGACAGTTATGCAGAATCTTGCCTGGGGAGGCAGCAGTGAGAAGGAAATGGAAGGGCAGATAAGGAGAACTGCCAATGCAAAATAAACTTGTCCTGTTGACTCATTGTATATGAAAGGTAAGAAAGAGAGTGAGGACGAATTCTAACTGTTGGGCCTCTATGAAGGTGGTGCCATAGAAACTAGAGAAGTACAATCGAGGGATAAACACAGAATCATGGAAGTTGAAAGAGAAGGCTACTGGATAGCAGAAGGCTGTTGATAATACCTAATGCTTCCCGGAAGTCAAAGGTGATGAAGAAATGACCATTTGAATGACCACTGATAATTTTAAAGAGAGCAGTCTCTGTAAAGAAAAGAGAACGAAGTCAGGTTTCTAGGATTTAACAGGGTGCAGAAGTAGATGCACTGAGGGTTGACCACTTATTTTGAGACGGTTGGTGTCAGAATAAAAGAATCAGGTGAATAGGAAAGTCATTTTAATGTGTGTTAGGGGTGGGGGTGAGAATATACAGCTAAAATTAAAAAAAAAATGTATAAAGCCATGGTTTCTAAACCTTTGTGCTCTAGGACATACTGAAAAGAATGGACATTAGAAAGCTTCCTTTAAATTTTCAGTTATATTAAAATGTTTTCATTAAAAAATATTCAGTCTAAATGGGTATCTGCAATATAGCAGTCTTCCTAACTTTGAGATTTTATAAAATAAATAGGTAATGGAGTTAACCATGCCAAATACATTACCTTAAAATTGTCAAATTGATTTATTTGCCCTTCATAATTTGGGCACTTCAGAATTATCATCAGTGGACTTTGGGGACTTTGGAATTGTAATCAGTGGATTTCTTTTATAAGCAGATGAACATCATAAGTATATATAATAAAGAGTTGTATTAAAAAGGAGGTTAGATCTTTTTTTTTTAAAGATTTTATTTATTTATTTGACAGAGACAGAGACAGCAGGAACACAAGCAGGGGGAGTGGGAGAGGAAGCAGCAGGCTCCCCATGGAAAAGGGAGCCTGATGTGGGGCTCGATCCCAGGACCCTGGGATCATGCCCTGAGCCAAAGGCAGACACTTAACAACTGAGCCACTCAGGCACCCAGATCTTTCTTTATTTGAAATGTAGTTATAAGCCCCTGAAATCAAAAGGACAACCAAGCGATATTGTTCATATATTGACTCCTATTATCATTTAGAACTATGCATTTGGAGTACTTCCAGACTGTTGCAGTATGCCAGAAGAAACTCTGCTGAAGCGAAAATAGAGAAAAAAGTTACATGTAAGTTTGTGAGAGTAGGTAAAGTAGCATGAGTTGGTGGGAGTTTGCAATGAAGCCAAAACATAAGGCCACAGAAGAAAAAGAAAAAAAAAGGACTCATTCTAGTATGCTAATGAGACCACACCTGGAACAATGCGCTCAATGTGGGATCCGTCACACAAAAATGAACATCTAGGAAACTGGAAATAGTTCAGAGACAAGCAATAAGAATGATTAAGGGCTTGGAGAGACTGAGCTGAAACAAGATTAAAAGGCCTTACATTTGTTTAACGTGGCTCACAGATGACTAAAAGTGGGCATGATATCTGTTTATAAACATCTGAAGGTTGGGTGTAAACATGAAAGATAGAGTAGAATTGCATAATATGGTACTAAAAGGATTTAACTTGAGAAAAAATTTCAAGAGAGAATTTAAAAGTAAATATAATGAAGCTGTCTCCCAGAGAGTGTGCATTTATTTCTTTTTCTTTAGAGACTCTGCCAAGAATGAGGAAGTTTAGTAGAGAGCCCAGCAGAAGAGAATGACCCAACAGGTCCCCTGCAGATCCGATTTCTTCACTTTCATAAACCAGTAGAAACCTTTTTAAGCTTGATCTGTTTGCACAAAATTACTCAGAATATGTGTTTATTTGCAGATTTTAGTAAACCAGCAGCATAGCCCTTTAGATTCCTGGGCAATTGTGTCTTATCCTCATTGGTTCCTGTAATCTGTCATGGGTAGAGTAGTTGAGTAAAACAGCGTTAAACTTAGTTCGTATGGGTTCTGGCTTCTGAAAGGCCATTCTCCCAAAGCTCAAAGGGTTTCCTTAGAATTTGCTAAGAAACAATTGAATGACTTTTTTTTTTTTTTTAAAGAACTGTGTATACTTCCAGCTGGAGTTCAAAGGTCCACCAATGGAGTAACTCAAAAGATCTATTTTGGGATTATTTCTATAAGCATCCAGTCTTCTGTTTTCTTTTGTTGGTGAATGTAGTGTCTTATTAAAATTTTTTAGCCTGAAATTTGTTCTTACTAAAGTGATGGAATGGTCTTCCCTTAAGGTTGCTTTTAAAAGAAATTAAAATAAAAATTACCTTTTGGATTATGAGCTCCTAGAGGGCTTTGTTTTTTAATTTGTCTTCTATAAAACCCAATGCCCAGTAGTACCATGCACACATGAAAAATAAACAAATAGTAAGTAGATGACAACTGCAGAAGCATCCGGCCCTGGAGGGGTTGGCTAAAGGAATTGCTAATAAGGGAATCTTTGATTTCCACCGATTTTCAGTATAAAGTCACATTATTTTTTGCTCCCCAAAACATCTCTTTTCTCCAATTAAGTTGGACAGTTATCGATATTCTGATGACCGTATTCGTGTCATGTAGGGTTTGTTAGTGTTTCTGAATCACTTCCAGAATTTTCCAGCAGATTTCAGAATTTCCCCACCTGTCTTTTCAAGCTCTTTGACCCCCTCTCATTGTTTTACTTTTTCCTCTCCCCTTCATTGCCTTGTAGAACTTTGTTGCAGTACCAGACTGGGCCAATAGATGCTGCCATTTCACGAGGTTAACAGTTGGAATATTTCTTTCTCAGAGGTTAAGGCCTAAGATGAAGTGTTGAGGGGGCAGATGGAAGGGGAGGGTAATGGGTAACTGGTATAGTCTCTCTAGAGAGTAATTTGGTTTCTAATTGTGTGCTTATGAATTCTCCGAATTTTACAAGTAAGATACTAAGAAAAACAATAAACAATAAATTAATTTTAAAAAGATACTTCAACTTCAGATACAAGTATATTTTAGGCAAGGAAATCAATAATTGAATAAAAACAATTTTAAAGGTAACACCTCAAAGCATCTTGGACTCAACATCATTTCTCTACAGTAAAGGAAAGGAAAGGCTTGAAAATGTGTTTTGGAGAGCCTGAGGGACATAAGGAATGTAATTCTTTAAACCAGTGTTTCTCAGACTGGTGTGTGAAATAATTTTAGGTGGCATAGAATAAATAATTTTACATAATACAGATTCATTTGCAAGGTTATTTTCTATTTATGGTAAATTATATTGATTTTCCATTTATGATGATAAGTTTCTTTTGTCAGATAAGCTTATAATAGAAATAGTTTAAAGGAAAATATTAAGTTAAAATACTACAGATGATCTAGCAATAATTATAAAAGTGGTATTCAATAGATATGATGGAAATAATGCTTATTTAAACAGGCAATATATTTTGCCTATGGAACCTCAAAATTCTTTGTTTCCTATGCTCAATTTCTTATTTCAAACTTGGACTGAAATATGACATTTTATATCACTCTTGTTAGTGTCCATGTAATCTATGTACATTTAAGACTAGATGGACTCAAAGATAGTAATAAAAAGTTGAATACTGTGATATAATTAATTCTGGTTTTTTAAAATAACTTCTATAAATACATTCTCATGAAGATGTATAAAAATATCACATTGGAGCAAAGTAAATTGAAAGCAAGGTCAGTCTTGCTGAAAATCTGATTTTAGAAGGGTGTAAAAAAACCATGCTAAAAAGTTATTTGTATGAACAGTATGCTAGCGTATGAAATTCTGCTGTATCCAAATTGGGCATCTCCCCACCTTTATTTAGAGGTCACACTAACAATGTTTCATGCCAAAATGAAATTCAAAAATTGTGGTCATATGAGGAGAGTATTAAATTCAGCATTTGCACTTACTTTTTACGTATTTGATACAGTCATTGAAACGCATACACTGTACTAAAAATATTTGCTATTTGTCTGACTACTCTATTAATAATAATAGCATCACAGTGGCTAACAGTGGTCTTTGGGGTTGCACAGAGGCTGCTTTGAATTTTAGGTCTGCCATTTACTAGGACGCTGCTAAAAATTCTGAGCCCTTAATTTTCTCACCTGTAAAATGGGGGAAAATAAGATCTGCAAAGTTAATTAAGTCTTCCCATTGATATTTCTGTCTTACTTGTATATTAACTGACATCCTCTTCAGGCCACGATATGCTTCAGATCATGCTCCAAATCCTTTTTGCACCAAATCCACCACCAGAACCCTTTCCACCTGGAGAAGCAGAAAAAGGAACATGGTGCCTGGCAGGTCTAGGCCTTCAAAATAAATCTGCAGGCAAGATCGACACCCAGTGAGTGGGGAGAGTGGCAGTGAGTGCCTTTATCAGTTTAAATTTACAACCTCACCTTTTCCATTGCCTGTTCATAATTGTGGACAATGCCCCACTACTTAAAAAATAAGCTGTAATTACAAGAATTCAACTGGTTTTTGCTTTTGAACCCGACAGTCTTGATGTCAGTTGCAAAAGACCAAGCTGAAATAAAGGGGGAAATATTTTTCCGAAATTTTTACAGAAAATAATTTAAGTTGACAAAACATGAAAACTAAATTTTCTTTGAATAGGAGTAAATTCTACTGGGTACCTTGTAATCTCTCCCACCACATCTGGTGATGTGGGGAGCTGCTTGTTGAATCATAGGCTTTGTGGTTAGAGACCACTGGGTTCTCTTCCGTGAAGTTACTTAGGTTTCTTTGGGCCTAGTCTCCTTATCTCTTGCAAGGGCTTAAATAACCACCATACGATAACCACCTTAGAGTTGTGAAAATTAAACGAACATACACCTACCAGAAGGGACCGGTATAATGACTGACAGTAAATTCTCAATAAATTAAAACACTTAAAATCGATGTGACAATTAAAGATGCTCCTAAAATAGACAATAGGTTTCAGGGAGAGGTGATTAAACGGATGCAAAATTTATGTGTTGTTTACTGTCTACTTTGGCGCAGCCTCTGGTTGTGACATACACATATGTTCATATAGAATATTAAATTCTATGTGGGTGCATAATGCATGCGCAGAAGGCTTAGGCATGAAATGTCACTTCAGCAATGTGCCTGGGGAAGCTCTGACGCTGCCTGACCTTTGGGCGTCTGGAAGGGATGCCTATACCTGTGCCCAGCGCTGGAAGGGGCCCAGGCCCTTCCCAGCAAAGCCTACCCCCAGACTGCTTACTCGTTCCTAGCATACATCTTCACGCAAAAGGGTATTTCGTCCCTTCCGACTGGCGTGGGTTGGTTTTTATTTTACGTCGTTGCAAGTAGGCGAAGTCCCTTCTGTCTTCTCCCTTGGGGTAAGTGGAAAGGAATCCGGCAGGGGGCCCGAAATGGCCTACACCCGGGGACTGGGTAGCGGCGGAGTGGCAGGCAACTCCTGAGCTGCCCCGCAGAAGCAGGTGGGGGACAGACAGCGGTTCCCTCGTCCGGGGAGAGGAGTGCGGTCGCGGATCCCTCCCCTCAATCGCGGGTGGCAGCGGCCGGCGCCAGGCCCGTGGGGGGCGGGGTGGGGGCGGCGCGGAGGGCGCGGAGATTACCGCGGCGCCACCAGGGACTCCGAGGGTCCCAAGCGGTCCCCACGCGGGACCGCGAACGATGACAACAGGCAGTCAGCGAGGTCGAATAAAAAGGAGTTGGTTCCTGCGCGCCGCCCGCCCCGGGGCTCCCCGGCGGCTTCCAGTGGCCGCGGACGCCGGCGGCGGCGTCCCCCGCCCCCAACCCCGCGCGCAAGTGCAAGGCTGCCCGCGGCGCGGCGCACGCTCGGCCGCTCCCGGCTTCCGCGCAAAACTTCGAGCCTGTCCGCGTGAAGTTGTCGCTCCCGTTCAGAGGGGGAAAGAGCTTAGCTTGGAAAAGCGGGGCAGAGGCGACAGCGGTGGCGGTGCGCGCGCTCTCTTTTTCTTTTCTTCCACTTTTTCCCCACCCCTGTCTTAGTCCAGAGTTTTGGCTTCTCTCCTTTCCTCCTCCCCCTCGGAGCCGGCTTCTCCCCCCGCCCCGTTTCTCCCCCACTAGTGTACGCTATTTGTTGGGGGGGGGGTGGCCGAAGGGGATGTCCTGTTTTCACCAGAGGCACAACGCGAAGGGGAAACTCCGACACTGGAAGGAACGAGAGTAAATACCTAAATACAGAAGCACGGGTCCGCGGCTGGGACAGACACTTGAACTTCAGATCCCGAGGCAGTCCGGGCTGCGGGGAGGTGAGTGCCCCTTCTCCTCGTCCCCGCCCGCAGGGTCCGGATTGCGGGGAGCCTGTGAACTCTCTCCGGGGAAGTGCGCGCGACTCTGCCGGGGGCGCGGAGCCCCGGGGACTGGGACGTACGGCGGGACGGGCTGTGGGCGCCGATTCCCAGCAGGCGCGCGGAGGCGGAGTGCAGCACGCCCGCCCGAGGCCCAGGCCGCCGGGGCTGCAGTGGTGCCTTCTGCCCGGGAGGACACCCCGCGCCCCGAGGGTCTTCTCCAAGCCTGCGGGGCTGCTGCAGGGCCGCGGCGGGACGCGGAGCGCCGCTCCCTACCTGTATTCCCCACCTCCCCCCAGGCTCCCGTACATCCTTCCAGTGATATTTATTACTGCGACTACCCCCTAGATAAGCCTGACACAGGAATGCTGACCCGGTCCGGTGGAGGACCCAGGCTCCTGGCATTTTCACGATGCTGCATGCGTGTGTACGTTCACTGCATGTGCTCTAATCTCGAGGCACGAACCGGCCTTTTAAACTGCGGCCATCCCACTTTAATAGTTTTTATGCGGCGTGGACCGAATGTTTCCTGCAGCTTGCCAGGGTCCGTGAAATTAGAGGCGCCTTGTCAGAGGAGTCGCGTTCATTGGCTCGGGATGCGGATGCCATGGAGGGATTATAACTTCTCCAAACGAAGGGACCTGGCTGCGGAGAGCAGGTTTTCTCTCGTTTCAAAGATTGCTGGGTCTGGACTAGTTGAGGCGCTGGAAACGGCTGTTTTCGCGTGGTTAAGCGGGATTCGGAAGAAGACCGAGTGTGTGCTTGTTTTATTTTGCGCCACACAGCAGCCAGAACTTTTCGTTTAGTAACACTTTAAAGATGTCTCTTTCTTTGTAAGCATGATTTGAATAGCTTGGAACTGTAAGGAAATTTGCGGACCGCGTCCCGTGGCAGGGCGGTAGCGAAACCCAAAAGCAATCAATCCCTCGTTGGGGTGGCAGTGTCTGTCCTCCCCGCCACCTCTCTCCCTCCTTCCCTTGAAGGCTAGTGGGGTTTGTGCTCCGGGTGAGTGTGTGTGGGGGGGTGGATGGGAGGGTAGTGTTTGGAGACAGTCTCTTCTCCCCACGCTCCCCGCTCCTCTCTCCCCAGCACTCCAGAGCGGGCAGTCATTCATGAATCCTTAACCTGAGGGCAGTGGAGGAAGGTGCAGGTCCCTGGGCCCTTTCTGCCAAGGTGCAGGATAGCGACGGGGCGTGTGTTTTGGTTTCAGAGCAGTTCCACGTGGAGCATCTCCGTGTGCGTGTGTGTGTGTTGTGTACTTGATCTGTAAGGAGGTAACAGGAGTCTCGTGTTCAAACCCAGTGGGCCTTTGGCCATTAATTTGCTTTCCTGGCTGTCATTACAGACACTTCCAAAATCTGATACCTAAGAGAACCAACAGGTTAGGTTTCACATTAAGAGCTCATACTTAACAGTTTTCTTTCTCCCTTACCCCTTTTGGCTTGGCACCCTGGGATCAACGTAATTGATGTAGCGAAACATACCTTCTCGAATATGGCATTTTGTTGCTCTTCTCAGCGGCCACGTTTTGCACCCTCCTGCGTTTGTCAGTTTCTGTGCGCGCTCCTTCGGGACTTAGGTGGGAGTCTTAGGAGTGTTTAACAACCGCGGCTCCCCTTTCGCAGCTTCTGAAGTTTCATTTACACATAGGTGACTGGCAGTATTGAAAGTCAATGATGGTGTTTTGTTGGTTGGGTTGTTTTTGTTTTTATTTTTAAAACCCCGTCAGGACAAGGATCGTACTTGATAACCTTTCCTGGGTAGAACTTGGTTTTAAGCAGAAATGTTTCCTTTCCTTCTTCTTCTTCTTTTATAATGTTTCTGGCCAGCTTGTAGCTGAAGAACCAAGAACGAGGAAAGGGGGCGGGGAGAGAATCCTAAAACAAAATATTTGATACGTGGTGTGGTGCGTTTTAGGAGACTGCACTCAAAGGCATTTGTGTGTGTGTTTTTCAAATAACATTATCCTAAGAAATAAGTAGCAGTAGTAACAAGAGACAGACTGTTTTGTGTGGAGCTAGACTGCCACAATCTGATTTTTATGGCAACAATACCAAAGGCAGATATAACCGCATCCATTTTTATTGTTATTATAAACCATAAAAATAGTTTGTTCCACCCGATTAAAAGTTGTAAGTCATTCAGAGTTAAACCAATTTTTAGAAATGACTGTACAAGAAAGAAAATTAAAACTTTTGACAGTTACAACTTTGAAACTAATATAATTAGATTATTTGTAAACTGTCTTTTTTTTTTTTTAATTGCTAGGGACATATTTTTGTCTTTCATAACAAGTGAAGGTTTAAAATCATGTGGTTTTCAAAAGCCTGTTTTCTTTTGTCAATTACCTGACAAGAGTACCCTTCAACATTTTAAGGCCATCATAGAAGTTGTTTCACAATTATAATGGAAATAAAAAGATTTACTTATTTTTTATTAGGAAGTATTTAATTCATTGGATATTAGAAACAATTTCTCTTATACAAAATGGAAAGCTTTATGTATATATTCATAGATAATATTGAAATCATGTGTTCAAATTTAAAAATTAAAAAGTAAACCCTAAGATTTGTATAAGAAAAAATTGGTTCAGGAACAATCATTATTCTTATTAGGAAATACAGATGCTGCATTCTAGAGGATTTGTAGAAGCTAGCTGAAAAAAAAAAATTGCCTTTGCATAAAAGTTTCTTTTTAGAAGGGAGGCTGGCAGATGAGTAGTTTGTCATTTTGCTGTAATTTATTTTTTCTTCCAAAAAATCTCTTTGAATTAGAAAAAAGAGAAAGCTCAGTTTTCCATTTCTAAGAGTTTCCTTTTTATTTATGTTGTGATTTGGGGTGTAAATAAATTTTACATACCCACGGGAAATAGAGTGTCCAGTTTCATGTTTTCAATCTCTGTTGCAAGCTCTAAATGACTGATGCCATGTCTAAAAATATATTTATGTGGCTTGGTATTTCATTTAAAAAAGTCTATGCACTGAAATTAATTTATCCAGGACTTTTAGAAAAGTAGAATGGTAGAAAAGCCATAACTATTGTTATGAAGATTTAGGATGTTGGAAAATTCACATTCTAACTTTCAAATAATAAAATTAAATTTACCCAATGAAACCTCACATTTTTATAGAGAATCCAAGAAGAGGGGAGATAATCCTTTTTAAGACTTAGTGAAGTGTTAAGTAATTTAAGAGCATGGGTATTTATTATGTTTTTTCATTATCTTTTTTTTTTCCCTTTAGGTAAATGCAGGAACACTGAACATTCAGTAAAAACAGGCCCCCTTTATAAGGACTTTATTCACATAGTTCTGTATTGCAGCTGCTGATCATATTTCACGGAGCTGTTAAAGCACTTAAAACCTAAAATTAGGTACTGTCTGGTTGTAAATATTTCAGATCACTCATTTAAGAAACAAACAGAAAAGCGTAGTATCAAAAGCAGAAGTTGTTTTGAATCTTTTCATTGAAGAACTGAACAAACCTCTATCAAACACCTTATTTTTTCAGTGAGAATATAATCACGACAGTTTCTTTTTTAAATGAATATTATTTTTACACATTCTAAGCTCTTACAATGTGTCTTCTTATAGAGTATCTTAAACTAACTGTATTCAGAAATGTAGTTGGGGGATCTTATTACAATGGTTACTAGGTGCATGAAATCAACACGAGAACGAATGGATGACATTGCAATGTACCTGCTTCTCTGGTGAATTTTCCCCAGTGAACTAAGAAATGACATGATCTTTCAGGCATTTGTTGTAGAGATGGATGAGATGCAGCAGTGTATTTAATTGCAGTATGTGTAATGCTGCATTCAGTTAGATGTGTTTTAATAGGGGGGGCACTGAATATTCATTAAATTGTACATGGAGCCAAACTTGGCATCATTTAGTTTGAACTTGAGTGGAAGAAAATAAACAAGAATCACATATTCAAGCACAGTACAAGCGATTTTGATTGCTTTTAAGAGGTTTGAAGACTTTGTAAACATTACTGTCACCTAATATTGCTCTTGGCAGTACACATTAGTATATGCCTTGGTGATACGCCATTTTACTCTTGAACTTTGTGATTCTTTCGTGTATCCAGCTATGTTTCTACTAGTAGAGAGGTACTGAAAATGAATGCCACTATCCTTACTGCCCTAACTCCTTTGCTGTCTTTCAGAAAAAGAGATGAAATGGATTATTTTAAAAATAGAAAGCATTT